TTTAACACGAGCTCACTTTTCTGTTTGCTTTGGTTTTCCCTTGCACTTTTCCCGGCGACTCGCAGGTCCATGCAAAATTGGAAAACCATCTTGATCGCGATTCGGAATTCATTTTCGTTGTTTTTCCCTCCGTCTGACTTCCGTGTAAATTTTTGAGTTGCGTTCGTTTCTGCAGCCTCATTGTCTCGCTTGGAATTATATCTCCACTTATCCCTCTTTTTATGCCGTCTCTTTATCTCGCAGTTTTTTCACATCTGTATTTAAATTTTGCAAGTTTTCTTCGCCCGGAGAGATCTCCACTTGTTTTTCCCTAGACAACACCTTGTGCCAAAAGAAGCATAATTTAGCAACTGCACTTGAAAAATTTAGTGAAATTATATAAAAGTCGTTTGGCATCTTTTGACAGTAAATCAGCCACTGATTTCTTTTGTAAATAATATCAAGTAAAACAATCGTAATTTATTTTCTTGTAATTATTGCTTGCGGTGTAATATTTCTGTCAGTGTCTTACACATATTTTGCATATGGCAAGCACATCATGCAAATTTTGGAAGTCGGTTTTCGTTGCTGTTGCCTTAGATGTTGCATGTGCTCGGTGTTTTCTGTTTGTTTTTTTGGATTCAAAGTTGCCTTTACACCCTTCTGCCCCTGGCACCGCCCCCTAATGGCCCACGCCCCTGGGGATGCTGTTTGCCAATCATTGGAAATGGAATTGCAATCATCTTGCGCAACAACAACAGCAACATCATCTGCAGCAGCGGATACAACTCCATTCGGTTGCAACTCATGTTGCATTCCATTTTGCGAAAAATGTTTACCACATACGGTGGATGTGCCACGCCTCCTTCGACGCCTGTCTTGGCCGTTTAACTGTAACATTTTATTAGCACTTGAGGCGTCGAGGAAAATAAAATGCGCCGCGTGCTGTGCGCAATATCTCCTCGATTTTGCAGCCTCATTTTTGAGCGTAGTTTGAGCAGAAAATGTGGCTCAAGCGGGTTGATTGCCTTTCAGGCATCAGTCTCCTCCTTAAAACGCCCCACGAAATTACTCCCTCTCGTAAACATTTTGTTTAGTGGGCGTTTCGGATGTGGCCGGGGAATTTGTATTTTAATTACACTATGCAGACGAGTTAATGAGAGAAAATGGTTATTTAAGGTGCAAAAATATGAAATATAAAAAAGCAGTACTAAATGATTTATACTTACTCCAAAGTCAAGTTGTAAACTCTTCGCGACTATAACAATTTGCTTTCTCTATCAAATTAAAATAATTATTGGCCACAATTTGTTTATCATATGTATAACAACTCAGCACTGATTTTTTTTATGGCCGGAAAGCGATACTTATCATTAGGAAATCTTTTGAAGCGTTGAGCGCCAGCTGTTTATGTTCTGCTGTTTCTGTAGATCATTTTTGGCTAATAAGGAAAATAGTTGTTAACGCTTTCCACTTCACTAAATTTAGCTTTTGGGTTCATCGAATGCCGTAATCGAGTCATCAAAAACGCGGCGAAATAAATTAAAACTTGCAAGCTGTTGACACAGAAATTCATTGAACTCGTTTTGCACTCTCAAAAAAGTCAAAGGCCCCAAAATGAGTTTTACCAAAGTTTGCAATATTTTTCACGATGCTTGACTTTTGGTTTTCTTTTGGGTGCTTCTCATCTCATTTGCTAAATGATCCATGAAATGTTGGGATATTTTGCATACTCAGCTCAAATATTGAGCAAGCAAATGTGCGAACGCCCTTGAGTTTTATGGATTCATTTGTCGTAGACGGATTTACTGGCTTAAATTAGATTTATGCTGACTGAGCATTCAACGGAAGCCAACACAAATTTAGCAATGTTTGGATTCTCTTAATAAACTATAAACTTTTGCATTTCACTGAATCTAAGCAGTCTTCATAAATCAAAATTAAACTTTCATTAGTTAGTTCATTAGTAGTAAGTTAAAGCCCGCTTGTATCTCATCAAATCAGATAAGAGTTATTTGCAGGCACATGCGCAACCTCTTCAGCTGTTCATTTTGGCAAAGTTCAACTGCCTTTCTTTTTAAGACGACCCACTAAAAACAAAAGAACAGGAAACTAAAAGAAAAATATGTAAAGAAATGTTGAATGAGTGTATGGGTACCCGTATACCCTGTAATTACAAGTAATAAATTTCTTAAGAGGTCTAAATGAGTGCTTAAACAACTGATTGTGATGAATTTGAATTGCATCCAAAAGATTAACTTTGAGAAATTCCGAACGAACCTATCTGCTCTTTCTTACCCCATTCATTTACAGGGTGTTTTGGGGCCAATCTGCGAACAGCAAAAACGACACGTCTACTACAACAAGAGAGGCTGCCCAAGTCGATTCAGACACAAAGGCCGGAGCCCAACAATTTGGGTCAATTGACTCGCAAGAAGCGAGAAAAAAAAAAACCAGCAACCGACAACAAAAAGATGGAATAAAACTTGTTCTCGACGCTCTGACAATAATAACTGCAAAAAAAAAAAAAATCTAGAGGAACGATGGCCAGAGATAAAATCCGCCCAATATTTTCTAGTCGCTAGTGTCTATCTAATCAATAGAAAAATAGGAAATAAAAATCACGAAAAAATCCTATTGCCTGGGAAGCTATCGCATAAATCACTCAAAACTGTCGTCAACTGCATTTATTTATGACCTTTACTGTATGGAAAAGAATAAAGGGAAGAAAAATGAGGGTTCCCTGATCGATTTACAACTTGATTTGAACTGAAAGCCAATCCAAAGATATCACATAATTTAATTGCTTCATGTAAGAAAGTGGGCGAGATGCACTGAAAAGTTTCGCGTAGCTGACTTGATTGGAGTTTTCCCCTGCCCCGCTTTTCCACTTGCCAGGAAGATACCACAAAAAATATATATAGGAAAAAGGTAGACCTTATTCCATATGTGGGCAATGCAGTTTTGTTTTTTTTTTTGTTTTTAGCTTGTGTCTGTTGATACATTTACATTACTTGTTTACTGGCAATATGTTAACACTTATTTATAGATCTGTTTTTTTTTGGTTTCGTTGAAGCTGACTCGGGCCATTAAACAAGTTTACAAAATGATAATATTGTCAATTTAGTGCTGATTGCATTAATAAACTCTGCGATCTGTTAATGGCGTGTGCTGCTGTTTTTAAAGCAGGTGAATTTTCAGTATTTTATGGTTCAATTAAGTGGAACCATACCTAGTCATTTTTATTAGGCATTTCTGTCAACATGATTATTCTAATATTTTGATATTTATAAGCTTCACTCCTTTGAAATTTAACTTTTTATATAGCTGTTCATTCCGAAGGCAACTTTGACCATAAAGCCATTCTCTTCTCATTCTAATCAAAGTTTTTGTCTGTGCCTCTTCCTCTGCAGTTTTCCCATTGAAAGAAAACTTGGTTAGCGAATTAAAGACTTTTCGCAACTTTTGGTCACCTGCCTCGTCGTCTTTCGGCAAATTATGCAAAGGAAAATGCAGCAATCGGCATCACACCAAAAGTGGAGGAAAACCTAAGACGTAAATTGTTTAACTTCATGACTGGGGTATCTTCTTTTGTTTGCCGGTTTTCTCGCTGTTTTTCCACGCTTTTCCGCCACACTTTTTTGGATTCATTCAAGCAGAGGTTTTGAGGGTTCGCCACCGTCTCCTACGGTGTTTTTTTTTTTCGTAGCTCGCTTTGTATCTGTAATCACTTAGTCATTGTTTCGTTGTTGCTACCTTTTTGCGCATTAATTACAAGTATTTCCTTGTTCGTTGTTTAATTAACTTGGCCAAGTGCCGCCTATATACTCACTTAGATGTGTACACCTATGAAACCACAACCACATTCGACCCACTAACATTTATCGCAGGCCCAAGATAAACTTACCTTGTGCCTAATGAAATCATTTCGAATTGCACGGCGACATCTCTTATCAATCTGGGTGGGAGTGTACAAATAAGAGGGAATTACAAATTATTTGTGATTCATTGATTTTATGGCCCACCGAGACGTCAAACGTCCATTATTGGACGACAATCGTCGACCGTTTTTGGAAAACAGAACTTCCCCTCCAGCTGAGCGCATCTTAAATGCGTTGTCAGTGGTGGGAAGTGACGAACTTTTCGAATCTCTCGAACCTCATGTTGATTCAATTGATTTGCAGATTGCCTAATTGCTCCACTGATTTGTTTGACTTTGCGATTGTGTTTTTTGTTCCCAGCAAGTAATCGTAGCAAAAGTTAATTGGGCGTGCAAGGGTTGAGTTAGAAAACCTAATAGATCTTTTAATCAATTAATGTACTAAACAAATGGATTTTAAATCAAATTGTTGTGGTTAGGTTTAGTTCAGTTAATAAACATGTTACCTAACAAGTTTTAAATGAAAATCTGAAAATCATTCCATTTACTTCCTTACAATCTTTTTCCGCTTTCCTCTCGACAAATTGATTAGGTGGCGTCAACTTTCCCTCCGCTTTTCCCCGCAAACTCTTGACTATTTTATAAGCCGCTGCCCTCCACACCGTCGAAATCAATTTACCAACACTGGAATAGTAGCCCCAAGACAAACAGCAGCAGCTCTTCAGGCAGCAAATTGACATTGTTGCAGTTGAAGGCTCTCGGTCGCCTTGAACCCCAATCATATTTTATTCAGCGGAAAAAGGGAATAAAAAGTAAAATCGTGGGGGCAAACTTTGCCTTTCTGCGAGATGCAAGATGCGAGAATGGGAGGCCAAGGAAATTGGCCGAGCACCAATAGCGGGAAAAGTGTGCTTTAGGTACACGGGAAAGAAGCTGAAAGAATCCTTTTAATGTAGTTTGCCATTTCCCATTAAGGGGCTTAAATAGGGAAAAGTTCTAAGAAAATGGGAATTGCAAATTAATAAGAGTCGTTTATAATCGAATTTTTCAATTTCTGTTAATAAAAGGGAAATACTCGAACTTAAGTATGTTATATAAAATTATAATTTTTGTAATGAAACAATTTTTTTGTCTTTTACAGCCTGCTGCCTAATAAAGCGAAGAATGCAACAAATGCTTCCAACCAACTCCTAGCTTGCCATAAATATCAACTTATACAAGTAAATTAACAGGCAGGCTCCGGTTTTCACTTTCACAAGATTCTCTCGTTTTCGTTTTCAAAAACGAAAATTGGTGCTCCCGTTTTCACTTTCACAAGATTTTTTCGTTTTCAAAAACGGGCAAGTTTTTTTGTCGAAATGAAAAGTAAATGCCTTTTTCTACATCAAAATGGTTCTTAATTGCAAAAGGAAAAAAATAGTTGACTCCTTGGTCTATTGATGTTCATTTCACATCATCAGTAGGTCAATCTAATTCGTATTTATTTTTTAAATAATTATTTTCTGACCCCACCTTGATTTCATACATAAAATATTTGCCGTCGGCAACAACAAATTTCGTTTTGCTAAAGGCTCGATAAATCTATTGCCAAAGTTATCGTTAATGCTGCCGTACTTGTAGTGGAACGAAACAACCACTTAAAAATACTTATAAATTGAAAACGAAGAAAAAATATTTGTAAAGAATAGTTAAATAAGCTTCTTATAAATAAATATGATTAATTTTCTTTCTTAAATGGTAAAACTGCAGTAAAAAAAGTTGTTAAGAATAGTGGAATGAAAGCTGCAAAAAAGGTGGCAGCCCCTTATTGTGGGAAACAGCTGATTTCTGATGGAGGCTTATTTGAACTTTTAAAAATGTAAGTAAGACAACTTAATTTACCGATCGTCAGACATATTAAAAACACATGTGTTGCATCTAAGATGTCTCGATTTTCTTAAATCAATCAATTTCTGCCTTCTTTTGGCTTCAAAACAGGCAATCGAAAATATAAAAGTCATTTTTTCGCTTTGTTTACTTTTGACCAAAAAAAGTCAGCTGTTTGAACAATTCCGATAACGAAACGATGACAAAAAGTTTGTGAAAACCGGAGCACCTAAAACGAAAACGTACGTTTTCGCCCAAAAACGAAAACGAAAAAAAAAGTGAAAACCGGAGCCTGCCTGTAAGTTTAAAAGAAAAACTGCCAAATTGTTAAACCAAATGCAGCCAGCCCCAAAGTATGCAGTGGATTTTGTGAGCGCCCCGCAAGCGAGTGCTTTGAGTTGCGCTCAAAACGAGTTCTGAGCAAACCTAGATGCTCGAAGCTGCCTTCAGCGAATTCACCAACCCTCCAGCGCTCGCGTATAAGTGATTCGCGCTGGTTCCGATCCCGACTGGAAACCCCCAATCGCAGCAAATATGGACGCTCCAGATGTGGGACGTATTATAAGAGCGCCGGTGAGGCGCAAACGCAACGATGAGCAATTAATGGATAGGGTGAGTAAAATATCCTTTCAAAATACATAGGATCCTAGATCTCGTAATCTATGTAGGGTTCGGCTTCTGGTTTTGGGATGCGAGCAAATCCAAAAAAAATATGCTTATACAACCATTCATTCAAAATTTGTCATTCATAAAACATTTTGTTTATATAATATGCATTTGAATAGGCGTATTCAATTTCTTACTGCTGCCTTTCATTGAACTGCATTGAACAGTCTTCGTCTATGGATTGGAAGCTCCAAAGTTGGTTTAGTTGGGAAGTTTGTCACTGTCGGATTCCGCTTAAATAAGCGACCGCCTGCAGCGCATGTGATCCAGTTTTCCAAACGGTTTTTGTTTATCTTCTTGGCCTGCAGAGGAAAATGGAAAGTTGCGCTGCATTCATTCGAACTTCGCCCACAAATGCAACTCCAATGGGTTGTGTCATTTGTTTTTATATATTTTTCCCGATTGTTATAATTTATTTTTTCTACCATCTGTCTTTCGATTTGATTAATTTGCTAGCATTCCACAAAAAGTATTTTTTCTTTTGAAATGCTGAGTGGTCATGAGTTGGCGTTGGTTTTTGTCAGGTTTTATTTTTGTTTGGGGGTTTTAATTGAAAATAGTTGGTTGAGAAAGTTGATAAAGCATGGGAAGCAATACGATACAAAGAGCTGTTTGGCATATGTTAATAACCAATGGGTGGTATTCACAAGATTACCATATCTTATTTGGTATTGCTTTGCATTTAAAAAACTCCTTTATCAATATATGTACATATTTTTATTCAAAATTAGTTGTTAAAATTTTTATTCAATTTTAACTGCAATTTATAAAAACCTAATGAGAAAAAATGAAAAATACTGATATCATTCACTTTTAGTTACACCCAGCTAATTAGCATCGCCGCAAAAAAATCGCCATCAATCATCTCCGGCGATTGTCACTACATCGACCCACATTCCACCCCACTCCACCCACCGAGTGAATAAGTTCATTAACCATTCCACCACACGCTTCCCAACTCAGGTTCCACAAAGCTAACCCACAATTAAAGACCGCTCGAATTTCACGCAATTAGTAAAACAAAACAATTGCATTGTTTAATGTCAAGTTCAATGCACGCAGCAGACAAACAAACCACCCGACCACCAAACACCCACCCACAGAAAATGCTATTAAATAATAAAACAAATCGAATGCAATTATGAGACTAAAAGAGAGACAGATATGAAAAGATGTGATGAAAAACGATAGAAACTAAGAGAGCAAGAGAAAGCCTTTCACGCTCAACGAAAGCTTTGAAAAAAAGGTAACCTCTTTGGAAGAAAAGAAAAATATCTCTACACTGAGAAAATATTTAACATATTTTTCGGATTTCCAGGATTTGAAGCCATTCGACATCAATTCTGTTTATCCTGATTTTGCTATCTTCAAGATATTTTAAAGAACTCGAAATATAAATTTCGAAAATGAATCAAGAACTCAAAGATATGTATAAAACAGCTGATTGCGTTCTATTTTGTGAAAGAGAGTTGTGGATCTTTTCGCAAAAGGTTTTCTGTTATTGTTAGTCAGCTGTTGGGGCTGCCCCGTTAGTTGCTTGTACTTGTGCTCTCTCTATCCGCTCTCCAATCTTTATCCCGCTCTCGCTTGGAGCTTTTCTCTGCCTGCGCCGCCGACTTTGCTTTTGCGCTGCTTTAGCTTCATTTGCTTTGGTCGCCGCCTTTCAGTTACAATTCGTATTCCAATTGGAACGCCGCGATTTTCCTGCGTGCTCCCCGATTTTCATTACGCTTTTCTCCTTTGCGTCTCGCCTGGCTGCATTTGTATTGGTATTCGCAACCGATTCACATGCAATTCGTTTGTGCAATTCGGAAAATTATGAAAAGTTAATCAACGGAAAAAAAATACAACCAGAAATATAGCGAAGCAAAAGTAATATTTTGGCAGGCGAACAAATTGAATTTGACCCGCTTAAATCGTGTTAAACTCGGTTTCTTAGTGTGCTTTTCATGTTTCTAATTTGCCCAAAAACTGCGAAGTGACCTTCGAATGTTGTTAGTTGTTGCTTAGTTGTCTCTTTTGTACATTTTCGGTGCGTGTAATTCGGCCGACAGAGACGCCGACTGCGACGTCTACGCCAACTGCAAGCAATAACAAAAATAATTAACCCAGCGTCATCAAGCTTTAATGATCAAAATGACGTTATATAATCTGTAAAAGAGCTAAAAACAAACCTCACGAAAGAGTACCCGAGACAATTTACGGTTTTGAGATTCCTGCAGTTAATTTAATTAAGTGATTAGATCACTGCCATATGTAAATAAATGTCGAAGACCAAGACCAAAATAAAGTCCTCTTTAAAAGTTGATTTTTTTTAATGAATGATTTTTTCTTTTCCCAATTCAAATAAATAAACAACATTTATATTTTGCAAACACTTTCAATTTCTTTTAGTGGCTCGGTGGCGTATACGCATTTTATCTTCTTTTTTACGATACTCCGCAAATGCTTATCTAAAGTCTGATATGCTTGACAATTCACAAATAAGCAGATAAAAACAAGAACGAAATTAAAAATAAAAGGGGTCAATTTTCGCTTTCCACTTTCCTGAAATGTCAATTGCAAATTAATTGAGTACCTTAATTATATACCAAAAGCCAGAAATAAATAGAAAATTCGGTAATTGTTTGCAGTTCTTCTTCTTGTTTCCACATGATAAGGTTCCCCCACGTCAATAAAAACGGCAAAGGCAGCAACAAATATAAAGCTAGTTAAAACAGCAACAGGAATAAAAAATTACTACAGGCGGAATTGAAATGGCAGGGGAAAAGGTGATAAGCGAATAGCAAAAGGGGAAACGCAAATTTGTGAGGAGCCAAGGTGATAAAAATAAAGGCAATTAAAGTACTCAGATAAGGTGAAAAGAGGAAGAGGGGAAGGTTGAAAATCGCACAACGCTTACCTGGTTAAAAGTTATTGTAAACAATTTGGAGGAAAAAGTAAAGTGAAGGGAAAATTGATTCACCATTTGAAAACAATTTTCAAACTCCACAAATACAAATTATGAAAAATGTTTTTAAATAGCTATAAAAATATTGTAATTTTTATACTGAACACAAAATAGGGAGCCACAAATTACAGAGAGTGAAAGAGCACTTTTATTTCTGGTATTTAGAACGTAACCCATTTGGCAATGATGACTGTTCCGTTCTGTCAACATCCGCGGCAGCTGTTGAATTTAGCTTATTAAATTTCTGTTGTTTTTAGCAAAATGTTTTGCCCCACAAAAGCAATTGACATTTACAGTGAAATAAAATAAAATCAAACAAAAGGCGGATCGTAACGAACCGCTGACCAAAACAAACGGAAAAAACAATGTAATTGTTGAAGTGTAAATCACCGCCGAGTGCAACACAAACCAACAAAGCAACAAAACAAAAAAAAACAACAGCAAACACAAAACGAAGAGCAACAGCAGCAACAATAGCCAGTGAAAAGCGGGTGGAGAAGTGAGAAAAATTAGTGGAAAAATCGGGCGAAATAATGCGGCATTTAATCATGACCCCGGCGTCGCTGTCGGCGTCGACGCCGACGCTCTCCACGCTGCACCACCAGCGAATGGCGCTGCAGTCGCAGTCGCCGCTGGCGTCGCCGTTAACCCCATCGCCGTCATCGGTGTTCGGCTCGCCCAAGTTCCCAGCGAATTACGAGCGCAGCGAAAAAGTGAGTTCAAAACATAAGCAAACAAAAAATCAGACAACAAAAAATGGCAAAAAAAAAAAAAAAATCTGAAAAAAAGCTGCATACCCCCAAACAAAGCGGTAAAAAAAAAACTGACGACCCCATCATAAATTACTCCATATTGTTCATGAATGGATCCACGAGTGCAGCAGCCGCTTGTTTTCCATTAATTATGCGACTCAGTTTTTAACCTTTTTTTTTTTTTTTTTGATGTCGTGCATTTTTCACGCGTTCATTTATTTTTGATGCAAATGTCCCCTTTGTGGGGCAATAAAAGTTCAGTGTTGGGGAGCAAAGCGGAGATTTACTTTAGCAGACTTCAGCACTTGACATTTCAATTTAAGTTTTTCTTTGACTTGCAAAGAAAACTTTGCCTAACCAATATGTCAAAAAGCAGTTAGGAATATAGTTGTCAGTTTAAATATTTGTATAACACAGTAAAATTACTTAGGGGAGACCGGGGGTTTTGAGACGTGTTTTGTTTTTTGACAAAAAATATAATAGAAAAGCCATTTTTCTGCCCGTACAAATTTTTAAATCATAGTTCAGTGTAATTTCACTCAGACAAGAGTATAATTAGTTGAAATTTTAGTTCGACCTTCAAGTTTTGCCTGCCTGCTCAAAAGTTGTTTTTTATGGATTTTCGCAAGGTTCGGGGGTTGTGAGACACAAATTTATAAGAATGAAAATGGCTTAATTTTATCAAAATTGTTATTTTTAATCTTTAATAAGGCATATTTTGTGGTCTACAATTTATTCAAATTGAAAAGATTTCGGCTTTTTCTCGATAGCAACCTCTTTTATAGCAGCCACAAAAACATTGACATCAATCGCAGATTTGGCAGTCTGACTATACTTATGACGCACCATGATGACTAAAGAAAGAAAAAAAGATCATCAAAAACACTGAATCCATCAAAAATATCAAAATTATCATTAAACGTTTTACTTGTGTACAGAAACACTATATCAGGCTATAAAATACAATTTTATGTTCCTAGATGACGCGGTAATAGAATGTCTCATAACCCCCGAGAACGTTGTCTCTCGACCCCCCAATAGCTATATTTTAAATATGGCTTCTGCTTTACGGACGCATTAAATGTTTATGCAAAATTTGTTCCGTGTTTCAAAAGGCTACTCACCAAGGAATGTTTCGGATGTATGCACTTTCGCAAATAGCTTGTAAAACAAAGCGAAAAGACAGCAAACACGAACGGTCTACAAAACTTTCGATCACAAAATTGGAGTTGCCATTTGGGAAG